CACAGGACCAATGAAATGCCAGGATTTGAATGACATTATAATGGTGTCATAGAAATCTGATCGACTTTGAAATGGTCTCCCCGAAATAGTCTGCATATCGTCGTGGCCGGGCAGCCCAAAAACTAGAAGGGCTTAGGTCTTAAGAAGGGCGGAATTGAACTGCACCAAATGACCTTCAAGATGACTATTTCAGTTCAAAACCGCATACAAATGTGCAATACCGCCTTCAATGAATTGCCGTTTCCGTCTGAAAGCTAACAGTGTCTATGGAGAGCTGTCTGCGGCTAAAGATGCTCACTAGGTTGGCGGACTGACCGTAATGCAAGTCTGCTGCTGGTTGTACGTGCTTATATCGTTGTGTGGCGTGGGTGGTGGTGAGGGCGGCATTGCTGGTCAAATGGAAGCTCTAGATTTAGGGGATTTATTTTTGCTTGACGCGCGAGCGGAACAGGCACGAGCGAGGTCGCCACTAGTATATCTATCACGCAAGCGTTTAGAAATGGGCAACAGCGATTGACCACCTGTAAGGCGATCTACTTCCTAGTTAGTGCTTGATTCTTGGCTAAAACAGTTGAATATCCGAAACCAAATAAACTGTGCTTGCGGTCAAGCCGTGTCCGTCCGTCTGCCACTTGTCGGGTCTGAGCGGCGTCTTGGCGCCCTCGAAGTCGAGGTTGTTGACGATGAGCCACACCATCTCCAGGGTCCAGGTGGTGCCGCATTTCGGCGGTGTCGCCACCCACGTGTCACGCGCATCCAGCGGTGGGTTATAGAGATCGCTGAGCTCCGACGACGACACCGCTGTCGGTAACTTGACGCCGAATTGATTGCAAGACAAAAGGCCATTGAGATATCCCATAAAGTCTTTGGCAATCTGCTGCTGGGTTTCGTTGTCCAAAGGAATGAGTTTTAACGGGAACGGCTTGTGGTCTGGAGACACTACCTGAAAAGGTATCATCGGCGGCCCGAAATTTGACACATTGTCGTTGAACGGGTCTGTCACATGCGGAGTGGGTCTAGTGCAACACATCCTGTGCTTCTTTGATGGCTTCCGTAATGATGACTTAACCCACGTTTGCGCGTTGCGTGAACATTGAATCAAGCAGACTCGGGAAATGATTGTCTTTAGTCCTACACCACCAAAACGGATCCAACCTCAGTGACCCAAATGCTACAGACCCAATATCCTCATCTCACCGTTTACTGAGATTATAGTGCTCTAGAATGCGTGCTTGCCTGCGGCAGCAACACTCCGAACAGGGACTGTTTGACATGTGCTTCCTTTCTCGGGACAAATCGCCGCGGAAGGTAGCCTCACAACTTTTTCACTGTTCAGACTGTGCCAATTCACCTTGCGGAACCACGCAATCTGATGTAGGAGCCTTACCACTTGGCGAGCCTCACAGCATAGGAGTCTTTGTGAAGAAATCGTCCCCCTGGTGAGGTTCTGGATCCGCGCTTGGTCCAAGGTCACCGCAGCTCGCGCGGTACCCGCGCATTTCGTCAACAACCATAGGATGTCGCGCCCGCGCTCTGCCATAAGTCAGGTTTTCAAAGGCTTTGTGCAGAGCGCTGACGTCACTGGTGTGGATACTGCAACGTGGCATGGTCGCTAGCCGTGGGCGTAACGTTGCGGGGCGCCGGAGCATCGGAAATGCTCGTACAAATGAGGAACAAACTGTTATCAAGGTGCATGAGATCAGCGAGCCGATTACGGCGTAGAATGCAATGGCGAATCCCATCATGTGCTTTGCAAGGCTATGCCGTTAAACCAAAGGCAAAATACAATGACATCAGAAGCGAAAACGTGCACAAGGTAATAATGCGACACAGGACAGCCAAAACATCGAGCTCTCATAGAACCAATGATGAACAAACTGCTAGCGGCAGGTGCACATGACCAGCAAGCCAATCATAATTTGATGTCGGATATGATTATGTGCTTTTGTAAGAACGACTCAACCCGACCACCACCGGATAACCCAAGTGACCCGTCCCGACGGCCTCCGGATAACCCAAGTGACCCGCTCCGACCACCTCCGGATAACCCAAGTGACCCGCCCCGACCACCTACGGATAACCCAAGTGACCCGCCCCGACCACTTCCGGATAACCCAAGTGACCCGCCCCGGCGACCTCCAGATAACCCAAGTGACCCGTCCCGACGGCGTCCGGATAACCCAAGTGACCCGTCGCGGCGACCTCCAGATAACCCAAGTGACCCGCCCCGACCACCTCCGAATAACCCAAGTGGCTCGTCTCGACGGTCTCCGGATAACCCAAGTGACCCGCCCCGACCACCTACGGATAACCCAAGTGACCCGCCCCGACCACTTCCGGATAACCCAAGTGGCTCGTCTCGACGGTCTCCGGATAACCCAAGTGACTCGCCCGACCACCTCCGACAACCCAAGTGACCCGCCCCGACCACCTCCGTATAACCCAAGTGACCCGTCCCGACGGCTTCCAGATAACCCAAGTGACTCGCCCCAACCACCTCCGGATAACCCGAGTGACCCGGCCCAACCACCTCCGGTAACCCAAGTGACCACCTCCGACCACCTCCGGATAACCCAAGTGACCCGCCCCGACCACCTCCAAATAACCCAAGTGACCCGCCCCGGCCACCTCCGGATAACCCAAATGACCCGTCCCGGCGACCTCCGGATAACCCAAGTGACCCGTCCCGGCGACCTCCGAATAACCCAAGTGGCCCGTCCCGGCGACCTCCGGATAACCCAAGTGACCCGTCCCGGCGACCTCCGAATAACCCAAGTGATCCGTCCCGGCGACCTCCGGTAACCCAAGTGACCAGTCCTGGCGACCTCCGGATAACCCAAGTGACCCGCCCCGGCGACCTCCAGATGACCCAAGTGACCCGTCCCGGCGACCTCCGAATAACCCAAGCGGCTCGCCCCGACGGCCTCCGGATGACGCAAATGACCAGACGAACGCGGGCTGGGCTGCCCATCACCCCCGCACGGCATGGCCACGCCTGGCCGAAAGACCAGCGTGACGCGGGCTACACAATGAACGTCGATAATCACTGTCAACACGGTCAGCCGGTGCCGGCCGCCGGAAATCATCCACGACCAAATCGACCTTCCCTCCTGTGTTCCACACCACACCCCGACTGCAAATTTTCCGTAGCCACATTTATCTGCACGCACCAGGATGGACCAGACCAGGTCAAAACAACCAGATGCCGCGACCACCCGCCCCGGCATCGCTGACCTAGCATGGCCGGATGGGAAACTGCAGACCCAACAACACGCCGTCGGTTTGCCGGGCGCCGCGCCGCCGCCGCCATCCCACCGGCGCGCGCGGCGCGGCGCTGATCCGCCGTCGCCGACCTAGCATAACCGGATGGACGAGCCACAAACCCAGCTGCGCGCCGTCGGCCAACCGGGCGCCACAGCAGCATCCTACGAGAGATGACAGGACGGCTGTCATGGCGCCGACCGCCGACTGAACTGTCGCGGTCCCGCGAGGCACGAGGCGCGAGGCGAGGCGCGGCAGTCGTACGTCGAGGACTCTCTGAGACCTTGCGAGTCATCGGTCGACCAGGCCCGACACGTCGTCACCTGGCGGCGGAGGACGGATGAAGGCACGACGGTCATGGCGTCCACCGTCGGACGGACCGTTAGGGGTCATACACCACGTGACAGTCGTGCGTCAGCGCCACTGGCCGAACACATATAGACAAGAACCGGACAATCGAGCAGGTTAAAACGGCAGTGAGTGCTGGTGGTGACGTATATGTATTCATTACAAGATCTGAATGTGGTTAAGATTAAGTAAGACTGGGGCGGAAGGGCAGTTTTGAACAGCGCTTGTAAGTGCATTCCACAATGCATCACGTTGTGACGGGCGTAGAACATTTAGCTCCTCAAAGGTAAGTACATATTTAAAGCGTAAGAAAATGTAGGCCCCTAAACCAGACTTTGTTTAACATTAGTGATGAGTGATTCGGGGGACTTTGACAAGCAGAGCGGTGACGTCACCCTCTGCGTGAACCTGGTATAAACAGGGGCGCGCGGACGGCGGTGGGCTCTCTCTCTCTCTCTCTCTCTCTCTCTCTCTCTCCTCTCTCTCTCCT